GCCAACAACAACATCACTGAAACTGAATCATATGCATTACCACAATCAACGCAGAAAGTTCAAGAAGTCTCATCCCAAGGGTTTATCCCTCGTGTATTCCGGACCGCACAAAATTTATAGCTGCACTGCAGTCCTCAACCATGTCAATAAGTTGTGTTCCTGATCTGATCCCCAGATTAGGTTTGTGACCCCTTACCTGTAGCGGTGTGACTTTGAGATGGATATATGCAAACCTTGTGGTTTAAATGCTAATATCGTTATACATAATGTATATTTTGAGACACCGAAACTTTGAAGCATCATAACCGGCGATGTCGATTGGCGGGCGCTGAAGGACTATTTCACTACCAGAAAAGAGGGTGTCACACTATATCAAAAATAAATTTCAACGTAATAGGTAAGCAAAACTATCCCTTTGAAATCAAGAAATAACCCCAATGAATTATCTTTTATTGACCATTTGAGAAACTATATGTGCGTGTCTACATTTAAGCTACTTGATAGAATCAATCTTGTTTACTTGTAAATGGTAGGGCCCATCGAGTTACTTCCGGGTCGGGTCACCACATGTTCGGACACGGAAACACATCAGAAGTGCAAAACTATCTCTGTGATCCCGATCACTGCCCTTCAAATAATAGTTTGCAGACCTTGTAGTAACAGGGCTGTTGGCTACCAAGGTATGAGCAACGATTGTTTGTGGGTTTTTTTTTCCGAGATATCGTTATCCGTCGCCAACATCTCTTCTGGTTTCGTCATAATTTTTTCGTAGCCTACGTTACTCGTACATGTATACCGGTGCCAGGATCGAGCAGGAAACCCCTTTTTCTTCTGTTTGGACTTGATACAAGTCTGTGATATAAAGGCCATAGCAGGTGAGGCTTCCATTGGCCACACTGGCAGGCGAGATGTACTATCATGTAGTGTCACAAGTTGGCCATGGTGCAAACGTTTGGTAATTGAAAATATTAACATAATTTGATCCAGTAGTTAGATTTCTGGTATATTAGCTGCGTACATTAATGCTATTTCAACTGATTAAATAATTGGATACGTTGTACAGATTTGATGGTCGAGGTCACCCTGCATTACACAACATAATTTGCTGTTATACAACTTATCTGTAGTACTAACGAAAGAGGGTAGGGGGAGCCATTATCGGTGCTTCTTATTATCAGCTGATTTTGACAGCTACCTTTGGTCAGGAGAAACAGCTAGCTCGTAACTTGCCAACAGCTCCCAATAGAATTAAATACAAACAAGGTAATTTGATATATTCCGCTTTTCTTTCAGGAACCCAGATGGCATCTGTTGTCTTGAGTCCAGCTTATTGGGGAAGCAGTCGAAGACTAGGGTCACTCTTACAGACACTGTTCAAAAGATACTATACAGAAGGCAGCTATTTCCTGTTTTCTCCTGTGTCTGTACCTCTCACTGCTTGTAGAATTTACTTCCAAGCAAAGATTCCCTCCATGCATCTTCGAGTCCAGTGCTATTCGACAACGACACTCCAAAAGCCAACAGTTCCAAAGCATCATACATTTCGCAAAAGGAACCCAGTGAATGAAAGGCATCACAGAAGTGGCCAGTTTAGAATCAAGGACTTTCTAGAACGTCCAAAGAGCGAAGAAAAATTTGATCAGAAGGCAGCTACAAGAAGCTTCTATGAAGACTCAGACGGATATCTTACAGCCGACAATTTCCTGAAGTCTCATCGTTGCAAAGAAAGTACAAATGACACAGATGTAGAGAGTGTCTTAGCTGCGATCAGCTACAACAAAGAAGATGTTAGTCCTGCAGTTCTAGCCGACAGTCTGTCAGCTTTAGCTAGCCAACCACAGAACAGGATTACACAGTTTTTACAAAGTGACCATTACGACCCATGCCTCACAATGGTGTCCAACTATTGCAAAGTGTTCACAGATGAAGATTTTGTGACTGTTTTAGTCTCCCTTTACAACTTCGAGATCCCACCCTGGCATCGAATCTACAGAAAGTTCATTTCAGAGTGCGAAAGAAGGGTCTATGACTGGGACATTGATACGATGCTACTTGTCTCTGATACCTGGCGAGCGATTGGCCGGATAGTTACTGATTACAATGGTCGAATGTTAAAGTGTATTGAGCCAAAGTATCTTGAGCTGACGCATCATCAGTTGGTGCAGCTACTGTATGTGATTGGAGAGAACAGGACGGCACCGCTAACACTGATGAAGAAATTAGAAGACGTGGTGCTTTCGCACGTAGACGAACTTAGCGGAAAAGAGATTGCAGCCATCTGCTTGGGTTACTTCAAGTCTCAGACTATCATATCCTCAACTGCATTGTTGCAGGTTTTGGGGGACAAGGCCTGCGAACATTTTGACCGACTAGATTTCTTCAGTGCAGTGAGTGTTTTCAAGGCCTTCAGACATGCGACAACAGTCCACTTGCCTCTCTTCAAGAAGGCCGCAGAAATTTTTTCCAGTAATATTCAGGACCTACCACTCGTGTCAGTGATGCAGTTGATCTTCACGTATGGAGCGCTCCATATATTCGACAAGGACTTGCTTGAAGCTGTGGCAGAGAAAGCCGTGAAAGACGCCAAACTGTGTCGGATCAAAGACATCGCCAAGTTCCTGTGGACGTTTGCACAGTTAAACTATCGTCCAGCCAATGTTGACCTGTTTCTTGATACTATGGTGACGGTATGTGTCTTCTGTAGGGCAAAGTTAAGTGTGTCTTGAAGTCTGTTGGAATACCTTTCACAGTATCACCCAGAAGAGTTCCAGCTACATCTTGTATCATACTATACACTAGCAGCACACCCTAACAAACCACCCTATAATCCATATTTCTAGGGTGTTAGCTACAGCCCTGGTCTTGTTCTCAGGTAAGGTCACAAAGGGACAACCAAGTAGTGAAGTAAAGCTCCTCCTGACTGTAAGGGGTGACCTGATTGGATGGTAACCTCACAGCACCCTTTGCAACCTTACCCAGCAACAACAGCAATGCAATTACTCATAATGCACCAGAAGGAAGGATTATAGGGCTGCTTGGCTGAGGGTATGCTGCTAGCATTTTCAAGCTACATTGTACATTGTATAGCTAGCTATGGCCCAGATAGGCAAGGATATTTCACATGTACATTGGACCTTTGGTAATATCAACGTCTGTATCGTCTAGTAAGACTATACTTCCCCTTGGTGTTCCACCTTGTTCATATCAGTCATGAAAATGTGATGTTGTTGCTGTTCATCTGTTGTTCTCGAATGATGATGACCAGAGACATCACGTCAGGTTGTAAAAAAAACTGAAAATGCGATAAAGCTGACAACCTTTGATTTGTTCTTGTTTTTTTTCTAGGAGTTGCGTGCCCGCTCCAGTGAGTTCCAGACATTTCCTGAGCACCTTGTGTACAGCGTGGCAGCCCTGGCCTACATGGAAAAATTCCCACATGACCTCATCAACACTGTGTTCAGTCCAGATACCCTGAAGCAGATAAAAAGTCAGTTTTTATTAGAATGTTGTCAAAAATAACATTCCTCTCCATATATTTTTTTCTGAAAGAAATTGAAATTTGTCTCATATTTGTATTTTGTCTCATACCAGAGTACTGCCCATGGGAGACCATGCGTGACCTATATGTTATTGATGGTAGTGTGGGAGTGGAGTGTGAGGACTATACCGGACACAGGCTCTCTCAGGAGTTCATCAAACAACTACCAGAGGTGAGAGGGCAAAGTTTAAGTATGCATTCACAGGTCTTGGTCATGCATAATACATCTATCATCTGTGAACAGAATTCCTCCTGACAAAACATCATTGTGATACGCATGTTCATCAGTCTGGCGTATCTTTGGTATTTTTACCTGAGGTGGTTAGACCTCCTTGCTCAAACATGATCTTTCTGTAAAATGGATTCCTTAGGAATAGACAATTTTCCTCAGTAAAGAATTATTTTTGGTAGCACACGGTTTTGCTTTGTGGTTTGTCGGCAGAACACAAGAAGCTATGTATGGAGAAATTACTATTCCCTAGGATTGGAAATTTTTTGCCAGTTAAGAATTTTTTGTAGCACATGATTGTTGCTTTGTAGTTTATTATTAGAACACCAGAAGCTATGGATGGAAATGTTCTGATATGTTGTATATGATGCTGTAAATTATGTTGGGAAGTTGTGTGCCATAACGACGGAGCGTTTGGCTGGGAACTAAGAGGTCCCAAGTTCAAATCCTGCCATGCCACTGATCTTGTGCCCTCTTGAAAGACACTGTACACGACTCTTCTCACTCAACTCAGGCGAAAATGAGTATGTCTATTTTCTGTTTATGTGTTTGTACCCTGCATTGGTAGCGGCATAAAAATAAGTTGAAAAAAACTTGAGTGTGCCGTCACCATGTCTTGTGATAATTGTTGGAATTAAGAAAACAAAAATGATGTTCCAGGGTGCAGGAGGAAGTGTGAAACATGAACTGACGTATCGGGAGAACCTATCAGAGGTGGTGAAGGTACTGGAACAGACGATGAGCAGGGAACGCATCAAGGTCCACCACATCCTGTCACACTTCAAGTCCACAGGTTAGACTGGCACTGTGAAGATGATCTATCCATGTTACACAATGTCATGTACCTGTTTAACAGGTCAGAATGTCTCCCTGGTCAGACTAGACCTGGGTATATTCTTCCTGGGGTACATCCTGGCCTGTTACACTGGAAATCCTGCAAGATTTTGGAATTCTATCAAATTGTATTTTCCAGACATTTTCAATCCAATGCATTAAAAGAAAAAAAACATCCTGCTTCGAATGAAAGGTCATCTGTGTCGGTAGAATCCATAGTCTAAAGTTCAAGCTCTGTTCCAAGACAAGAAAGGAACTCACCATAAATTTTCGGTCAATTTCCTCATCAGATGTGAGATGCACTCACTGAATCTCCGGAAGTCAGAAACATCAAATTCGTTTTCTCTGTTTTACCTGTTTGCCTTCCTAGTTGTTAAACTTTTTTCCACTTACTTGTGCAATAAAAATTCAAAAAGGCCATTTTTATATATTAATTATGTTTGTTTTCTTTGCTGTTTATTCTTGTAGATATAGAGATACATGTGGACCAGAGAAACCAGGCAGTGACAATTGCTGGTCCTGTCTCCACACCTCGTGCCAAGAAGAAACAAGCAGATATCAGGCTGGACAACAACCTCATTGATATCCTAACAGGTGAGAGACTTAATATATATTACCCTCTGTGTGCTTACCCCTGCTGTGACCAGTTCAGATTATGTGACGTTATGGGACCATAGCAGTGAGAAGGTTAATTTCTTGTTCTCATAATTATTGTTCTATACGGGGATGATAATTATAACTTAAATCTAAGTCATTTTTGTCAATTACAAACAAGATTCAACCGCATATATATTGTTATTGAATTGGTCCCCTAAGTATTTAGATTTAGTTATAATAATGTATGAATTCATTGCATCATGTTCAAAATCACTTATTTTTATGCCTGGCTATCATGCAACACATTATATAATAATATAAGGCCACACCAATTTAATTTGTTGGTTCTCGGATTTTTTCAGGAAAAATATGAAGCGACAGGGCGAAAAAAAATAAAAATAAAAACAGATCTAGGCATCCTATTATAGCCACAAATGCTACGATAGGAGGTATGAAGTCAACACAAAAGGCTGGTTCAAAATTTAAAGAATGAATTTTGAACTTCTAATGATACCACTGCATTGAAAGATGGAATAACTGTAACGACTAGGAAGAAAAGGACTGTTTTCAACTGTTCAGGGCAAAATATGAGCATTATGCAGTTGATTCTGAAATTTTTTTTTTTTTTTTTGCAAATCAGGAAAAAATGAAGAGGCGAGTCCGAGAACCAACAAATTAAATTGGTGTGGCCTAATGACCTCTCATAGACTTTTTCTGTAGCTTTTTTTTTGTTGACTTTTTTTGTTGACTTTTTTTGGAGACATTAGCATACTGGCAACAGTTACAATGTCTAACTACTAGTATGTATCACATGACCTAATTCAGGTTATAGGACAGTGCACATCATTTTAAGATTTTTTTGGTATTGCAGGTACAAAATCAGAGAGTAGTTTGAAGGACAAAGGGGAAGTGGAACCTGCAAACCAAGACACAGAAAATATAACAAGGTACTTGTATGATTATGAATAATTGTGATATTAGTATCATTATCACCAGCAGAGTTTGTACTAGCGCCTGCCAATTACTACTAGTACCATAAAGAGATACAGACTAGAATTACTCTGTGGTCTTCACATTGTGCAGAATTTGAAAAAAAAAATTAGTAGATTCAAATTGAAGTAAATTTAAAGTAACAAAAACAACTACCTGGTAAATAAACAAGTCTAAAAGGGTTTTGTTCTCACTTTCAACCCTCACACCCCCTCCCCAGACTGGCTGTACAGGTCACCAGTATGAAACACCACCTCTACAACAGCCACACTCTGCTGGGGGTCCATCAGATGAAGAGGAGGCAACTCAGGAAGCTGGGGTACCAGGTGGTAGAGGTGAGTCAACAGCCACATGGAAAATGGGTGTTATTTTCCAAGATTAGTTATCAACGAATACCGGTACGGTAGACATAAACAGCAGATGTTTTGCAGAGTGCCACTTGTGCGACAATACAGGATGCAGATTCTACAGGTACTGCCCATGCATTCCCAGGAAGGACATGTATCTCACTTTGCTTAATTCAGCATTAATATTTTTAGCATAAATCCTAAATGAGCATACCAAGGTGGCTAATCATTGTTGAAATGATACCAAATGAATAAATTTTTTCTCATCTCCCAGTAAATTATTATTGTAACTACTTATATTGAGCCATAGGCACATTCTGGAATTGCTTACAGGGTACATGTACTTGTAGAGTCTACCAGAGAACTGATGCTTTTTCATGCACATGCAACCAGTGGGTACTTTATTGTATACTGTGAAGTAGTATGCATTTTCTTTTACTCCTTTAAATTATTACCTACTGGAAAATGACACCCCTCTCCTGACTTAAGTGCTCCTTTAATGGTCCCACAGACAAAAATAGGAGCTCTGAGGATATATAAAATGGGATGGAGTATGCTATCTCTGATTGCCTATCAATGTTTTACAATTATGGTAGGACACAGAGCAATTTGGCGCCTCTATTTTATATTCCCTATTGCCTTTCACTGTAAAAAAAAAAGGCCTGTTTCAGTGTTTTAATGTTGGCATGCTTTTATTCCTGACAGATTCCCTACTACGAGTGGCAAGATCTACCCAGGCACCCGAACAATGAACGGAAGGAATATCTCAGGAACAAAATCTTTGGTCGTAGCTAGTAGAGTCAAAAGAGCTTGTTCTGTTAACCTTTTAATTGCTGCTATATTGTAATGGACATAACTGCATTTTTAATGTGATATTGTCACTCATTGTATAATGGTCATTGCAGTAAATATCAGTAAAATGATTTTTGATAAGTGATTTTGAAGAAATTATATCATGACAAAATAAAGTTTAAACCCTTATTTTACTTTTACTGAGTTTGGACACCTTGTATACATATGTGATGTTTATTGCATTTAGACACAGCAGATGAAATAATGTAATAGAAAATGGCACCTAGCAGAAGTGTTATACCAAGGAGGTTTAAAGTGACAACTTTAGTTCTGTACATTTCTGGAGCCCATGCATTGCTTTATGTGATGTTATGAAGCATACATGTGCAAAACAATAGTCAGGCTTACATGACCTTGGTTGTTCATTATGTAGACCTTTGCTTTGCCCCTTTGTTTTTGTTAGCATTTATAACACAAGATTTGAAAATCTTTAAGTCAACCACATAATGAAACATCAAAACAACCAGTTTGAACCCCTTTGCTTTCCTACTGTGTGGTAAACAAAAATATTTAGACAGTGGATTTTCTTTACACAAGCCAGTCCATATTTGTGAAAGCATGTGGTTCTAACACCTTCACACCGTCACACCACATACTGATAAAATGGAATAATTATTGTGCCAAATATAGCCACAATTCTTGAGCAAGAAAAGCCAGTTTTATTTTCTTCGAACCAAATTGTGTGTGGGTGTGTGTGGATGGTCACAATGGGCAAATTACTGTTACAGTATTTAATATGTAATGGAATGCAATTATTCAGGTTCTGTAATATCTATTCCGCTCTGCAATCTAATTGTGAGAAAAATTCGATTTAGAGACAAGGTTTCCTCCAATGGGGACTCCCATCTTGTCAAAATCTCTCTTGATTATGACAAAGATGAAAATCTAGTACTGGAAAAGAAGGCAAAAGGATGGTATGGATGAACATTGTTTGAGATCCAACATTGAGATCCTTTCATTTCGAGAGAACACTGTTAGGTTCTTAGCTTGAGATGACAAAAGTCCAAATTAACATTCTGTTTTGAGTTTCTGTCATTGCCATACATGTAACCTCAGGTTACTATCTCAACTTGTTCAGGTCCAGATTTGTACCCAGACCTATCTACTGATACCTACACCTGATGACAGTTTTAAAGCATGCAGCTAAACTCTCCAAGCCTATGTTCATTTTGTTTTCTATTTTGTCAGCCAGGACAGTTATAGAAAAGCTGACAGAATAGAAAGCCAAACAAAATGTCTAGTGATGCTTAAAAAATATCTGAAAACAGGTCTAACATCTGCTTGGAAAGCAACTCAGCTAGACATACAAAACTGTATGGCAAAAGAAACAAAAGCGTTGATAAGCAGTAATGTCTACAGTTGGATAAGACATAATCACAATCATGTACATCTTGCCCCACTTCATTTTTTCCTGGTTTAATGACTGGTACAAACAGCATGGCCTGACACAGAAAGGTGATCTTCATATTAAGTTGCCCTATTTACAACAAGTGCCCAGTACTTTATTAGTGTAAAACATGCTCTTACTCTACATTCAGTGGTCCTATAACTGACATGTACAACTTGAGGTAATCTGACCATGATTTTATGACTGGTATAGTCATAACCTTCCATACACCTGCTTAGTCATTATCATATGATGAAGTAAAACCTCTTTTCCATGTCTAGGCCACACCAATTTGATTAGTTGGTTTTTTCATAATTATAAAATATGAAGCAATGGTGAAAAAAAAAACAGGCCTAGGCATGCTATGATAGCCCCAAATGCTAAGCTAGGAGCCATGAAGTCAACATACCAGGCTGATTTGTAATTCAAACAATGAATTTCAAACTTTTAATCAAACCACTGCATTGATAGATGAAAAAAAAAACTAACAGCTCTGAAGAGAAGGGACTTCCTTCAACTGTTGGGGCCAAAATATGAGCATTTTGCAGTTGATTCTGAGGCTGAAATGTGTTTTTTTAATTGAAGGTGAATCCGTGAACCAACAAATAAAATTGGTGTGGCCCTAAATAGATCAAAAAACATTATGTCATTGAGCAGGTGATAACTTTTTACAAGACTTTTCTCAGTGTTAACTTGAAATGTTCCAATACTCTGTATTTCTTCTGAGCTTTTCTAGATCTGGGTGCTGAAATATTCATAAAACTTTGTACAAATGTACTATGGCAAAATACTTTTGTACAGATAACTTACTTTTTTGGAGCACTGCCAAAGTACAGAGGTTCAAACAAATAAGGAACACAGACTAACATTTTAAACAGCCTTTTCCTACCAAAACACACTGTATTAAACAGGAATGATTTAATTCATGCCAGACAAAGTACTTAGTATGTAGTCATCAAACTTACTTCAAATTCATTTAAAATACTACGAACAGTCAGACACTTGGATCAAGAATTGGAAACTCCCAGGAATTTTGAGAATGTTACATACATCTGCCAACCCTGTATGGTGCCATGATGATCTTTGTCCTTATTATGAACAGAAGTCTAAGAAACTTCTTGTTGTCAGCTTTCACAGTGGGGCAGTCAAATACCAATACTTAAACCCATCCACACCCAAGGTTCACTTCACAGCAATAATTGATTGGACAAAAGTTCCTCCCAAAACTGCAAAAGATTGCACATTTCCAAGTTGCTTCCTCTCCCTACACATTGGATGTGCATGGGTTGGGATCACACCAGTAAAATTTTGCTTCAAAAGGCCACACCAGGAACAATTCATTGGTGCTAGGAAATAAAGAAGTAAAAATCCCAGGTGAGTTATTTTCACAAAGCCAAGAACTTGTATTCGCATCTAGAAATGAATTGAAGAATGTGAGTGAACATAGACATAGTTCTTCACAATGCTAAAGTCAGTTTTGTTTCACAAATGTTTGACAACCAAGGAATTTACATAGTGTAGCCTTTTTTGGACACAATTCCATCGCACTATCTTCAAAGTGAAACTAGGCAATCATCACATAAGAAGTCTGCAAAGCTTGACTTATATTTTTGCCCTCTTCCTTCTTTATAACAGCAGCTGAGCTAGCTATGAGCAATGATGTTTTAATCTTCTTTCTGAATAATACATGCAAATCCAAACCTGCACTCGTCCTTAGAGAAATATCATAAGACTACATCAACTGACTGTCTAGTCTGCAAATTAATCTCTGTGATATACAAGAATCTCTTGACACAACATCTACAGTATTATACTTGTACACGTACACATGTGAAGAAAAGATGCCTTGCCAACACAGCATGATGGAAAACTCTGGTATTGTATGTACAAGGAGGGACTACAAAGTGTAGACCATACAGAATGATCATATTTACACAATTCCAGCATTTTTTTTACCATTGAGATGACAACATAAACTAAGTGATGAAGACCTAAGCCAGAGCATGTGATATTTTTAAAAAGAAACTTTTGCATGTCTTTCTTGGCTATGTATGCACAAGTCAGCAATTTCTTTGGTCCTCCCTTTGATTTTGGTGAATGAGTTGTATGAAAGTTGCAGCAAAAGACAAAATGTGATACGAAAATACAACATGTACTTGAAGCAGATATGACTCAGAAATTTGTCTTTTAGCAGTCTAATCATACAAAATGCTAAGTATATTTTTGTTCTTCACATGGCAAACAATTTTTTCAAAAAAAGGAAAGGAACAGTACTTCAAAACAGAATCAGATTGCCACCTCCATGGAGTATGTGTTGTGTAAATAAGGACCAGTTAAGGCCAGACAAGTCCAATTAATCAACAGATCCTCTAGTCTTGGCTACGATCCAAGTTTGATGCCCTGATGTTGAAAAATTAAGGTGGAAATAGTAGATTCTCTTGAAACTTTTTCTCCAAATGTTTTTTCCAACCTTTTAGCAACATTTCTGCCAAAGCAGACAAGACCTTCATCTGTGACCAAAATAATCTACTGTTGAACTTGCGTTGCCACATTATGCTAACACATGTTGACAGGCACAGACACATACACAACAAATGGCGGGACAAATAAATGAGATACTTCTGTGAACTTGGGACTTCACACAGCCCTACAAACACGTGTATGGCCTCAACTTACCCAGCTGACTTCTATATAATGCTAGTTTGTATCTTGTCTTTTAGTCTAGTTAGTATTACAGACTACTTGTGGACCGATGAGGTTTGAGGTTTCCACACTCAAGTAAGCCCAGCATATATACAAGACAGCTAAATAAGTTGAAGCCAGCTTACTACAGGGTTTGTGCAGTCTTGATTTTTCTGGATTTCATACACAATCTTTTTTTTTCATACACAATTTTCTACAAGTACAAGCGTTCAAAGATTCTTTGATTTTTCCTTCCTTTTTGTCAAAGTGCTGGAGCACATTCCTGTGTGTCAGTGTTATCCCCTACATAAGTAAGAAATACTATAGACAAGAACTCTTCTTTTTTTGGTGACACCCCAGGGGCAGAAGCATTTAAATGTCTGCCATGCCCTGTTAGTAGTACCCTACACCCAGAAGGGAAACCATCCTCCCATCATACTAATTAATAAAACCTTTACAACTAGCCCAACTCCCCATATACATACAAACACCATAAACAAAGTCAAATAGTTTGTTCAGTTTCCCTGTCCAGTTAGTTTGCAAGCACCATATCTCTTTCCTCTGCAACACATACACCTTTGCTTGGATCTCAATGCATGCTGGGAGATGCAGGGCACTATGGGTAGTGCAAAACAAAGTTTTTACCATGACAACATAGACCACAGTGCCCTGCATCTCCCAAAACAAAGGGATGTATGAAAAGATCTACAGGCAAACATAAACAATAAATCCTAACCCCTTTGAACCAAGTACTCTACTTCAAAGAAGTTAGCAAGAACTTATCCTTCTTTTTAAATCCTATACATGACTGTTGTTGATTTACAACACAGAGTGCACGGGAAATCTGTTTGTCAACAGTTAGAAAGTGATCACACACTGTTAGTGCTCTGATTATAATTTTTAAAAAAATGAAACACTACAACCAGGTTGTGGGGTGTCAGCCGTCAAGGGAGCAACTACCTGTTAGTTAACAAACACAGCTGGCAACTCCAAATTTTGTACCTCTTCTGTTGATGCATATATACACCATTTGACATGGAATATGTATAACTTGAGCACATCGGCAGAATGTACTGCGCCTGCGCGAAACCCTGATTTTCAATGGTTTTCGTTGGACGTTTCCATCAGAATTTCCTGTTGCAGACGGTATCATTTGCAACCCATCATTTAGAAACTACAGACAGGATGTTAATCTTATATGCGCGAATACGACCTTATATGAGATGTTTCGCGCAGGTGCAGTACGTTCTGCCGACATGCTTATAACTTGTAGGTTCTACACGCTACAGTGCCATGTTTACAGAGTGGCAGGGTTCCCCTGGTCAGGGCTGCGTCAGCTCTGTCGACACGAACTGTTTCAACCTCTCCAGGTACTGGCCGTACAGTTCCACGTCGTTGTGGCCTGCGCCCTCCACCCACAGCGGCTCCACCGCGCGCGGGCAGCGCTCGTAGATTGCCAGGCCATGCGAGAAGTCGATGACCTCGTCCTCTGTGCCGTGGATGACCAGAACCGGCGACGTCACCTTGGAGATCTTGTCGATGCTAGGAGGAAAGACAGTTGGAATTAGAATCATAAATGGAACGAAAAAACTTTCATGCCTTCAGTATCCTTACGTAAGTTACGGTGTAACTGTAACTACATTCTGGAAGCCAGTAAGAAGCTATGTTGCCAACTTATGACAGTGGTATAGAAATATTTTCTACATACATAAAAATTCATGCTGACCAAAATAAAATTACTTTATGGTGCAAGTGCTATACTAAATACAGTATGTGCTATGTGGAGTAACAAAGTACTGGTGCACCTGTACCAGGTTTTGACGAGACTTACCTCAGTTTTCAGATGACATATTCCTCACTGAATCATCGTTTAATTCTAACTTGTAAATGTCAGCCTCTCTACACTGAATTTTACATCATACAATCACCCGGAAACCTTAGCCTTCAGAATCCAGTAATCCACCTTAATGTAAATCACTTAATATTTGCAGTACAAAAAGTTCGCAGTCTGAGAAAGACAGACATATTCGTGGAACTATGTATGTACATTTGCAGCAGGTGCAGCAAAAATAAAGTCTGCAAATTGTTTGTTGGAGGTAATGATACGTTCACGGTACAGAAGTGACTGCAAAAAACGCAAATATAAACTATATCGCGATAAACTTGTGATTTACAGAAGTTTATCCAGAAAATGCTAGCACAATGGCAGTAGAAAACCTAACACCTTGAATCCTTATGAGAAGCCAACTTAAACCCAAATCCTGGCATACGGTTTCACAAAACCAGGCAACCGTAGACTTCTTCATACACACAAGGATACACGCATTACTGGTGCCTTCCTAAGATTTTCAGTGTTTTTATGAGAAGAACTCAAACGTGAGCCACCATGGGAATCCATTCTCATGGTACATTAGGGGTAATAACAGATAGAAATGACTGCTAGCTGAGGACTTAAAACACATCATGGGATGCAGAAATGGCCAGGATAGAATCAGAATTAACACTAAGCAGATTTTCGGGGCCCATAACTGTGATGACAGAGAAATAATTACCACATACATTGTAGTGAGGACAATTGGAACAAGGCAGAACACATCATGATAACACCTGGAATCAGGCAAATGGTAACTTTTCAACCAGGAATCAATTTTCCTTGTCTAGAGGTATAGATGAGCCAGATGGTAATACAGAAGCAAAGGAATATTGATGAGGTCTGATGGACTGTCTTAATAAGCTTGGAGTGAGTGAATAAGACTTTCATTAAATTAATTAAAATCCTTCCCACACCTTTCAGGGTATTAGGTGGTAACCAACTTTATTTCTGTAGCCTCTTTTCTCTCTTAATCTTTTTCTTTTCTTTAAGTTTTGTGGATTTGTTAGTGTATGTCATTATATAATACCTGGCAGTCTAATAGTAATATATGCCCTTAGTCCAATCATACAAACATGTACATGACTACATGTACATGTACACACACACAAACACACACACATTCACACACGCTGGGTTCAAATATGGGTGCATGCACATAAACATGTAATGGTAAATACAATGTACAGACTATACATATACACACACACACACACTCATACATAAACATCAGTTTCAGGCTACCACCACACCTCCTGACTGCAGTACAACTGACTGACCTGGGGAAGGCGTCGAAGCACCAGGTCCTCTTGGTGTCGGGGAACGCCACCCTCATGCCAGACATGAGCGGGGAGTGCAGGATCACCGCACCGCACTCGTACCGCGAGGCCAGGTCTATCGTCGGGACAGTGCCTGCAGGACGGCAGCAGAGATGGGAACAACGTGAATACTACTGAGAACATACTATAGGAACACAGCAAATGCAAGATCACTGCATCACACAAATGTAAATAATCATTATACCTGTAGGTTACAGGCAGGCTTTTAGCTAGGGGGTGTCCAGGGTGTCTTTTGGACGCCCTGTACTGAAAATACTAAGAAATTGGACGCCCTACTTTTTGGTAAGACGCCCTATTTTTTCCACTCCCAACCCCTGCCATGCACACATGCCTCCCTTCAGCCTTACTACAAATACAAAAATGATGGTTTACTGAAGGAAAAAACTGAAAATCCTCAAAATTCGCACCTCAAAATGCAAAAAGTAGTGCTTGAGAGCATTGTGAATTTCAAAAAAGCCCCCCCCAAAAGCCCGCGCACTGCACATCTTTGCTGCGCATAGCAAACAATAAAAAAAAATGGACACCCAACAAAAAAATCCTAGCTAAAAGCCTGGTTACAGGTACACTTAATGATATATTCAGACAGTTTGTCTATAATTGATAGAAAGGTCCTTGTGCCCTGGTACATGTATCATTGTTGTAGTTGCTGTAAATTCATTTACGTTGATGGCACTTGGCTTTCAAAAATTAAGAGTTTGTGGTGTCTTGGAGTTTACAATTGAAAGAACCGTAGTGACAAAATGCAAGACAGATCAAGGGAAGATGTTCCCAGGTTCACATTGAGAAATCACTGAGAAAAATGATGAACATCCAATGATTTACAGTGTTTGAAAGCTGTCTGTTCATTAGAGTCATAGGTCAAACAACCCAATGACATGTTTGGAAAACTCCCCCTTCATTATCTGCATCAATCAATGGCCCTTTCAAGAAGGAAGCCAGGGATGCAATCACAAGTGACTAACGTTCTTGGTACAACAAGCTTCAGAATATAACATCTACTTTATTTTAAGTACAGTACCTCCTTTCTCACAAATAAAATTATAAATTATCAATTTCAATTTTTGCATGCATGTAGTTCACAGAGTTGCAGGATATATATATCTTGAAGCCATCAAGCTATCCTGTGTTAAAAAGCCATGACACATGCTACTCTGTTCTAACTCAAAGACCTCTCCAAGTGCACTACTTCTTTAGCACCCCACTGTCCCCAGTGGTATTTACTCAGGACCACCCACACAAGATGGTCTTCAAGTTGACTTTCCAGACTCGGGTGATAAGTAGCACCTGTCTGTGGCACCAACATTAGAGAATAGCAGTTTTGTGATGGGTAAATCCTTCGCACCAGGGTAATTTTAGTGACTGACTGAATGACACATCAAAAAATCATACGCCACATTTATGAAAAGCAAAAAGATGCCAACAACAATATAACAACACATTCTAGAAAACTGATTGTCAATGGATAGATATAGCACATACATGTTAAGTGTTAGATGCATTAAAATGCACATGCACTAATTATTCTCTCATAACAAGACAAAAGGAATGTATTTCCATGTAAATATATGATACCTTTAGATATATAATTGTAGGTGACCTAACGGTCTGGAGTCTCTGGACATTTACTAGTAATCAGACAAGCCCATTTTCACTATAGATGTGGGAAAGCCAACATTTTCAAGCAGAAAGTTGTAAATGTAAGCACACACGTTTCTCTTCCACATTTTTACTTACACTATAAGACTTAAGGGTTAAGGATGAGAGAGAAAAGTACTCAACAACAGGCAATATGTGTCAGCCTTTGTGATGTAAATTTGTCATGTATCTTGTAGTATTTGTTTGCTTTGTAATGTTGATGACACAGTTTTTCTTAGCAATGGGAGATGAAAACTTAGTCTGACAAAAAATGTTTGGTCTGGTTGAAGTTAAGAAAACAAACATTTTTGATACAGTGCAAGCAATAATGAGTACTGTGTGAGTAGGAAAGAATGAAAAAAAAGACCAGACGCTCCTGTACCTATGCTATGGCTTGGAAATCATTAGAAAACGTTTTCTGTGTTTACCCACAATCTACCAACAATGCTTTGAAGTCAACATGAGAGGCATAGTTGTAGGCAGTTTGTCATGGCAACCCTGTAACAAACACCGTACCTTCAAACACACAGAATACCATGGATACCAAGTCTTCTTGCAATGAATAAATTTGCACCAAATTTATGTCGAAACTCTGAATTTTTTTTCCCTTCTGATCCTTACCTGTTTACCAAGTTTCTAACATCAAGCAAGTATATCTTTGATCCATTAAATTGAACTGACGGGAGTCTGTCACATGTGAACATTTTCATGATTTTGGACTGACATATGATAATACAATAAGCTGCACAAAACCCCACAATACATGATAGAGAACCAACATCTGGTCAGTAGCCATCTTACTATTCTTAGAAATACTGAACTTATTATAAGGTCATCACTGCTGCTTTCTACATGTTGTGCCTGGTATGCAAGATATTGAACTTCAGTGCCTAACCACTAACGATTAACAGATGCAAGACTGTTTGGTGAGTTCACTGTCTGTGAACTTTTTGTTTCCTTTTGAGTCTGCAAGAAAATCCAAAGGATTTAACACATCAAATCCTGTAAGAGAAATAAAACCTGCATGCAAAAAAAGAGCATGGTAATTTGGTATGACTGGTAAACACCTGTGCCGAACTGCAAATTTAAAACATTTTTTTTAGAAAACCTGAATACTTCTACCAATACTAGATGGCACAACTTACTAGGAAGAACCTTATCAAAATAGAAACTGTGAGTTCTGCTAAAGGCAAAGCATGATGGGCAGGTTCTGCTAAACACAACATGGCATGATGGGTAACAGTGAAGAATCCTTACCTATTGACTGTCCGTACAAAATGATGTGTTCTGGTGATATGCCGTATCTCGTTCGTAGCGAGTGCCAAGCTGCATCGATATCTGCGTACAGGTTCTTTTCGCTTGGTTTCCCCGTCGATACGCCGTAGCCTGAGTAGTCGAAACTGAAGACGTTACAGTTTATTCTTGTTCCCAGGCCAATGTAGAACGAGGACATTTGGCCCAAGTCGACGGCGTTACCGTGTGAAAACAGGAGGGTGTACCGCGCTGACGGCGAACATCGCACGAACATGCAGGCGATGCGATTACCCCGGTTGGTACGTGTCATGAAGACTTCGATACAGTCCAGTTCTCGTTGCGTGTATTGCCATTCTGCCCGCTCCGATAGGTGCAGAGAGAAACGCTGGCCTGAGTCGTCTGGGACAAAGGCATAGGTGGGCTGGAGAGAACAAGAACAGTATTATCAACATCTCTTTGTGATAAAAAAATTTACTTGAAACAAAATTACATACCAACTATTATACTCTATTAGGACTTACTAGAGTCACTATCTGGCCATGTTTGAATTTTTTTTCTCTTTCTTTTTTATTTTTACAAAATGGCTTGTTGAAGTCTTGGACGCCCTTGAAGGATACTTGTTTGTTCACATGCACAACACTTTTGTACCAAATTGATGCTGGGTAAGACCTGACTGAAAGGTTTGATCCACTTGCACAGAGATGGACCAGTCCCATATATATTTGTCAGGCATTATAATTTACTGTAGGGAAAAAATATGGTTCAGTTTAAATGGCAGACAGTTGAATTCCTTCACCTGACCAAAAGTTCAAAGCAGACTGAGACTAGTAAGAGTTCTGGTAAATATTTAATTAAAATATGGTATAATGTAAAAATGCATTTTCCTCTACAACTCACTTTCCCTTATTCACTACCACAACAGTACTATCTAAATGTTTACAATGAGATGTGTTTATGAAAAAAGTATTTTGATACAAAATTAAAGGCATCACCTCACCCAAGGGTGTAGAAAATCACATGTAAACAACGTGAAACATAAGAAGTCCTACAAAGATTCTTCCATATAAAGGAATTGGAGGGTGAATGTGAAGGCTTACAGTGTGTTTACGGAGATTATACGTATCTATTCAATCAGCCAGACCTTCTCTATTAATCCCGCCAAAATGTTTACGGGAGTAATAATAATTTTGTGATGTTCCTACCTCTGGTGGGAGGAAGGCGAGCTTGGCGGCGATGCGGGCCGGGCATGGCGGGCAGCAGAACAGGCAGCACAGCTCTCCTAGCGATAACCCGTTCATCTGGAACAGCGGCTGGTGATACCGGTAAGCACAAAGCAGAACGAACCACGACGGCACAGAAAGTCCACGGCACGACTCTACAACAGGGTGGATATCGAGGTGGGAAAAATTATTTCCTTCAGCTCAGGAACTCAGACGACCAGCGCTCGCCCAGGGGTACTACAGTACTTGAGACAGCAGTCACAAATTTGGGCGTAATTTAAGCGTTTCCTTCCCTCAGCAAGAAACT